TGGGAAAATGACACACATGTCTATATATGCATTCAGCGATGTATGTTATATACTTACCTATTAACAAGTAAGATATGCTGTTCTTATGGAAACTATTACCATTCCAGGTAATGAAACTGACGTTTGCGTATTTTAATCTATTGCGACAAGTGGCATGATAATATGCACCAATAATAAAACCTGAAATTGTAAAACTTACAAGATATAAACATTTGCACAAATATATTGCATACCATTTTTATATCAACATCTCCAGATTGTATAAAAACTATAAAATTATTAATTACTAGCTGTCAATAGTGTCATTATAAATTCTATGTTTTAATGGTGCAACATTTTATTAGATTTCATCGGTGTTGATTGTCGAAAATTGAGATTTACTATCATCTAAGTACCCTTTCCTTCCTCGATCATTTCTTCAACCATTTCACTCTTGATTCATTTGATTGTCGTACAAGCAAAATCGAAATATATCTCACGTCAATAGAATATTTCGGCATTGTGAAACTCCACGGGACTGAAAATGACACCTTCAAATCTCCAAGTATGAGCATCCTCCTTCCAACTTTTGATGATAATGAAATAAATAATTCATGTGTCAAAATGTTTTATCCTTTTAGAGAATTGTAAATTATAAATATGCTTCGTAGAAATATTCGGTAGGTATTACATGCTTATGGTACGTAAATGATGTCAAACGAATATGAATCGCAATTTTGTAAATCTGCCGAGCGAAAGCAAAAATTCACGAGAGACGTCTCTGAGATTTTATCGTTAAAATTTTATCTATTAATCAATGAATATATACGAGCATTACTGGAAATTTCACTTTCTTTACAAAGATCTGTGAATATGTTTGTGTTTCTTTGTTTAAAATTAACCTGACCGCACATTGATGAACCCAGTCAAATTTTTGTACGCACGCTTAAATTGCAATTGTGTAAGTTTCTAGCAAAATTATGTGAAGAGAAGAACATATGCAATTTTCATATGTCACACAAATTATTATAAAATAGGAAATAAATTAAGGAAGTAAATTAAGATTAATCTACAAAACATAGACAACTTGTCTGATTGATAATGCTTAATTTTCCTCAGGAATCTGGTCTGACGATCATCTGATGCTCTGACCATCATATGCGAAATAACGTCACGTATATTATAATAATTTTATCCATGTCTTTCGACATTTTTCTAGTGTGTTATATCGATAAACTAATAACGAAACAGAAATGAACCAGACGACAATTTAATCTGTTGTATTGATGATTAATACTCACTGATCATACTCCTGATATTGTAAGAAAATTGATGTACACGACGAATTGGTATCACTTGTCTCTCCAACAGAGATATCCTTAATTTGGTCATGATTATTTCATGGTTTGATACGGAGGTTAAACTGACCGCTGGAAACTTCATCAACATGTCATCCATGTATACATATTTGGTAATGTATTCTTAATTCACTTATTCAAAATTTATACTACTGACTTTAGCAAGGATCACTTGCAATTGCGGATAGTTACTCGTATTTCAATATGTTCCGTCACACAATCATGTTGTACATTGCACGTGTGTCAAACGTATATTGATATACACCATGAGTACTAAACTTCTCATACTACATAAGTTCTCAACTGAAACAAATTGAAACTGTAAAAGTACTTATTCCTTTCATTCTATTCACGTATTGTGTAATTCAAATGCAACAGAATATATGTTAATTATTCGAACATGCACTTTATATCATCAAACTTTTATATAATATATTGAAAACCGATGTAACATGTTATATAAATTATTAAAATATGTTATACTAAAAACTACGATGAAAACTAGTAATACTTATATAATACTATAAAGTAATACTATATAATACCAAAAAGCATTCTCGTGATAAATCTTTAAATATTTTCCGTCACACGATACCAAAAAAAAAAGTGTAAGGATTAATGACAGTATTTGCAACAAAAAAAAGAAGGAAAAACTCTGTTGCATAGAGAAACGAAACATTTGTAGCACTAACATGTGTTCGTACTCACGGCTTCATCATGCACGCATGCACACCCTTCCATGCATCGAATCAACTGGTGGTTGGGAAGAAACTTTAACCGCACTGGCGAGTT